TATTTCTTCCCATAAAACCATTGAATGGTTTTATCACATTTTTCACTTTTTCGTATTAAACGTTATTTTTTCCATTTTGATTTCTCATCGTACTTCTTCAACCGTAGCCACTTTGTTACGGACTGTGTAAATCGTTGTATTATTATGGGAATCGCTCTTTTTGAATAATTGACTCGAAATCGTCCGAACAATCGCGAGATATTATCATAACATAAAATTTAAATCTCGCGATATCTCGGGCTTGTGTGCAAAGCAGAAAAACAAGCGAGTCGAAGCGCGTCTCGAATGAGAACTGTTTAATAAAACATCGAACGGCTGTGCGATGGTTGTTCTTGAGCTGTCTCAAATGTTAATAGAAAAACATAAATCTTTTTCTCAGTCACTCCGAGCCGATGAAAAGCGAGCGGAAAAGTGTCCGGGGTGCTTATTTTCAGGTTCTTCGAGTTTAATTTATTAAGTATACTCGCAGAACCTGAGTTCAAATACCGGTCGGTGCTGGTACCAAAGAAATTGTAATTTTAAGTGCTGACTTATTACGTGTTCGGCATTGTACAAAAACATCGTTGCGAAACCTGCATATTTTCGAAAAGAAAAAGACTGAAGACTGAAGGAAAATATAAGTAATCGTCGATTTTTATGGGGCCACTGTACTTTTCGGGGCGAGCCAACATTTATGCCAGTATTTTGCCGAATTGGCGATCACACGATAAAACATAAGATGATTTTAGTTTAACTAGCGACCCGCCCCGGGTTCGCTCGGGTGCAATGTATCATACATATACGAGTAAACCTTCCTCTTGAATCACTCTATCTAGTAAAAAAAACCACATCAAGATCTGTTGCGTAGTTTTAATGATCTAAGCATACAAAAAGACGGACAGACAGCGGGACGACTGTTTTACACTATGTAGTGATGTTTCGAAGGCTTCATTTTGATGTTGTTTGGATCTTTTGACCTGTACATGTTTCAATTCCGTGATATCTTTGACCCATTTCAAACTGTAAACTTGGGTACTTTTGTAATTCGGGAAATAATAAATTGTCCACATTGAAACAATTGTCCACCAATTGTGGTTCGAAGAAGAACGGTCATTGCCAAATTTATTATTTGAAAGATAGGTTAACTGTCGCACCTCCTTTAAATTATAACAGATTCATCAGAGCTGAATTATTTGGCAATGACCGTTCGCAATGTACCACAATTGGTGGACAACTCTTTGGTATCGAAGTGAATATGGACTTAAAATAAGTAGTTCCCGAATTACAAACCTACCCGCCTTCACAGTTCGAAATGCGTCAGTAGGCATAACATTTTTTTAAAAGATAGGCTAACTGTCGCCCAGTTTTCTGGCTTATTATGTAATGCCTTTACACGTCAATGAGTTCTGTTTCGACAACAACGGTTTGCTAGCCACTGGTGTGGCAAACGGCAGGATTTTGTCATCGACCTATTTTGCGTTAAGAGAAAAAAAAAAAACGCAGAAGTAATAACACTTCCACTTCACGCCGATCTTCTGTGAGGTCGTTTTACTTACCCTGCCCATTCGGGCAACGGCGAAGACTGACAACAGTCGACCTCTCAAACAGGCTGTGTTTCAAAACGGCGCTATATTGAAGACAGGTCGTATTACCGTAGACGCTATGCGGGCGACAATGAGCCGTTGATGCGGACAGAAATGCACGCCCTCATATATATTGCGCAGTATTGCGATAAGGCGGACAGTGCTCCGTAACAGCCAGACCTCCGGCGAAGGATCGTCTCGTGGCGGCACAGCACGCGAGCGATCTTGTTCGCGTATCGACCCGTTTGACAAACAATGTATCAATGGAATTGTAATATATGTATTGTTCGTGTCGGTAGAATATTATAAATGTTTTCGCAATGTACCCTCGTTTAATGAGGCAGCCAATAAATGGCGGTTGTACTATTCAACGCGTTCTAATATCTGCTCCGGAATCCCTCAAATGGTGAAGGAAATTACAGAAATTAATTTTAAAAACCGACCTGGTGCATGTCGGACTCGCACACGAAGGGTTCCGTACCATTGTCTATAAAAAAGGCAAAAAAATTATGTCTCGTATGTGGCCCTCTAAAATATTTTTTTATTCTGGTTTTTAGTATTTGTTGTTTTAGCGGCAACATAAATACATCATCTGTGAAAATTTCAACTGTCTAACTATGACGGTTCATAAGACACAGAATGGTGACAGACGGTCAGACAGACGGACAGACAGACAGACAGCGGGTTCTTAGTAATAGGGTCCCGATTTACCCTCTGGGTACAGGACCCTAATAGCTATAATAGATGCTTGAGTTGTAATAAATAATTATGGTTTATTTGTGGTCAGCGTGTCTGTGGTCCGCATATCTTTGTTTGCTTTTGTTAGCTTTGTATCACTTAAGTATAGTTTAACAATTTACCTGTAGGCCTAAAAAAGTACACAGTATGCTGACTAACTACAGATAGATAAAATATTTAAATTAATTAATTAATATTAGAAAACTAAGGTTGCTGGAAGAAATTGCTACCTTAGCAATAATTTCCTGTATTTTCTTCCTTGTGTGCAATAAAGTATATTCTATTCTGTTTTAAAAGAGGCCATGAATCGATTTCGCAAACGGTCGACCATCAACAACGATGACATGGGCCTGTCATCATGGTCAATATAAAAAGTAGTAAATAACGAATCAGTAAAACGGAATGATTCGTTTGGTATGCTGAATATGCTGAGTTGTATTTCGTTAGTTAAATTTGCTCTTAAAATTAAAATAGTCAATTTGCTAACACGATAATACTCGACGATGTAATGAGTAAATATACACCCGTTTGTTTGTTATCAGTGTCCAGTTCAAACGTCAACTGTAGTGAACAGGTAACTGTAGTGAGTACAAGTGTAGAGAGTGTTAATATCTTATCCTTTAAACGAGCAATTCTTGTATATATATATAAACGGCTCCAGCGAATTTCATGAAATTTAGTATGTGCGTAGATTCGGGGGCGAAAAATCGATCTAGCTAGGTTTCATATTTAGAAAATTTCCTTTTATCCCTGTTTTCAGGGAATGATAAATATGATTCGAAAACGACGGTAAATTATATTATAAAATATCGCCGCAAAAAAAAGTTATAATAGCTCGGGCGGCCCCAAAACAGACGGCCGCGGTTCGTATCACGATCATTTACACACTTTTTTTTCTATACCAGATCATTGCTTTCTTTATTTTTTATTTTTTTTATTTCCAAAATACATGATTTAACAAAAAAAACTGAGCAAAGCTCGGTCCTCCAGGTATAAATTATAAAGTCAACAGAAGATCCTGTATCATCACAATAGTAGCTATTCTGTTCCCGCTTTCTAATATTTGGGGAGAGTTTTTAGAGCTATATCTGACTACCTCGTCAGTGCAGAAACAAGTGGCAATGTGTCATTGCCTATTACGATGTTGGCATAGCTTTCCCTAGATGAGCGTATGTTTACGAAATTGGTGATTTATTGAGGGGGAAACCCCTAACTGTGTACATGCATACGTGTTGATTGAGATTGAAATCTTATTGCCCACCCCTGATTGTGGGGCGAGAGTTTTTATGTGTGTGTATAACTGTGACGTCATACACTTCAATCTATAATGACATTCCTGAGCGTACGACGTCGTTTAACGCAGAAAGGTCAAGGTACGCTTAACAGCATTCTTGGTGCGACGTTTCCCCTCTTTATTTGAGCGGGCTATGCAGAAATAAAAGATTACTGCGACACTCAATCTTATCCATTGTTCTTTGTTTGACTTCCCTTCGAGTTGCTAACGATCGCGGATTGGTCATTACACATGCGTTAGAAATCTGCCACCTGGGTGAGTGGTATCGTAAATTTTTGTGATCCCTATATAATAAATATCGTTAATCATCATCCCCCTGCCCTTATCCCACCTAAGTGGGGCGGCGCAACATGTGAATCATGTTGTAAGCGGTTTTAGATATATTTTTTACGATCGGGGCCGCCCGCCTCACGTCAACCTCCTTGGGAAACGAACTCCCAAATCCGGAGCATTTATTCTGTGGGCCACACAAGTACTTATCTCGTGTGGAAATCGAACCCATGACCCCGACGCCGAAGCTAAAGCGAAGAAACGACCCCACCGAGTCATCTGACATACCGTTAATACTTTATGTAACATATTCTAAGTAACAACGCTTTACCCTTATGTTATTATCATGTGGTAGTTTTTTTATCTATGTAATGAATTCAGTTTTATAGGTGGGGATGAACTTTATCTGAGGTTTAAACGGTAATAAGATAAATGGTTGAACTATTGAACACAGAAAAAAATAAAATTAGTAGCCGGTAAAGTAAAAGCAGCAGTAGTAAATGATGCCATTAGTAACTAATAAATACATTTTTCGTGTTCCGTAGATTCATCCTCTAATACTGTTCTACGCATGGTATACTAATTTCGGTAAAATTAGATGACTCCGTGGCGCAGTTGCCAAGGCGTCGGTGGTCGTGGGTTCGATTCCCACACTGGACAACTATTTGTGTGACAAGACACAGATAGTTGTTTCGCATCTGGCTGTTTGTCCGCGTGATATTTATGTCTGTGAAACGTCCTTACAACACAGGATAATGTTATCCTAAAGTAAGGGCAATGGGCAAAGTTTTTAAAAAAAATGAGAGGTGTCAAGGGACACCCGGATGGAACGAAGTTCCTTTCGATTAATTAGTGAAGGAATTGTAATAAAATTTTATTTTTTTTAAGTTATAATAAGAAAATATCTGGCTTGCTTTCTATAAGAGAAAGAGAGAGAGAGAGACAGACAGACAGAGAAACATGCGCACGCCGCACAGTTTACAATAGCTTACTATAGCAAAGAGTGTCGTTACAACTTTTCGTGAGAATTTTTTCCGTCTAGCCCCCTTTCACAACGCGCGACAAGGAACTTCGTTCCAATTACAAACAACAAAAAAGACTCTTCTTGTGATTTTCGTTCGCGTGTCTCCTTGCAGACGCACAAGCTGTACGCGCTGAGGTACTGGGGCTGCGAGCTGCTGTGCCTCGTGAACATAGTGCTGCAGCTGTGGATGATGGACGCGTTCTTCAACGGCGAGTTCCTCTCGTACGGGACGCGGGTGCTCGGCTACAGCGAGGTGCCTCAGGAGCAGAGGTGGGGATCTCCGTTTCTATTAATCCGGACTTGCGGTGAGCGGTCACCGTCTTTATGAACAGCCCCGACTATGAAGGGCTTGCGGGGCTTACAAATTCCAATGTGTTTGTTCAATATCGGTGAGTAAAAGGATAGCCACCTGACCTGAGAAAGACCGGCGATCTCACCGGGCCTTACATCACAATATTTTATAATGCACTTGAGACAGTCTATAGCGTGGAGCGAATTTCTGACCCTTGTTTAATATAATGAATCATGCAGTCGAAATCTTCTTTTTTGCGAGGCGATCAGGGTCGAAACCTCGCTAAGGACCACAGCTTTATCTGTAAAACATTTATCCTGTGTTCTTAATGTAGGGTTACGCATCAATTCTTTACAGAAGACCTGCGTGAAGTGGATGTTAAACTTTCGCGTCTCGTCTAGTGACTGTGGCAATCGTGGCTCCAATTTTTAAAGGTTGTCAACGCATCAGCAAGTTACAGTTTGTTGGAGATGTCTATGGCGGCAGTATTCATTTAAAGTCAGTAGTCAGTAGCAGAAGCAAGCAGTGTTTATGACTTGTTTAATAAAACTAGTTTACGGATTTTAACGCGTTGCAATTTTGATTTTCAATTCCCGGCGTTTCTTACCCTTTCTAGCGTTCATGATCACGGGACAGACTATTACTTGTTAGTTCTACTATCACCATTTACTTTGGAGAATTTTAATGGAGCCAGGTTTTCCAACAGTCACTTTGCCCACTTGACTCAGTTGAGTGCAGTTGGTCTTTTGCATTGTTTCGCTCACTTTGCTCTTTTGACTCGGTAGAGTGCGGATGGTCTCATGCACTGTTTCGAACTTTCCAGATACGACCCCATGATCTACGTGTTCCCCCGCGTCACAAAGTGTACGTTCCACAAGTTCGGCGCGTCAGGAACAATACAGACACACGACAGCCTCTGCATCTTACCCCTCAACATAGTCAACGAGAAGACGTACATCTTTATCTGGTTCTGGTACATCATACTGGCGGTCATCCTAACCCTGCTGGTCGTCTACCGGTGAGTACGTTTGCATCAGAAGATTCTTTTCATAGTAATGTAAAGCCGAAAGACGATTAAACTAAACTGAACATATATAAAATTGGCTGAAGCCTATGCAGCATGCCTAAGCATGACAGACAATTGATCGGATCTGGGTGTTTGTCCGCGTGAAGTTTATTTTTGTAAAACGTCCTTACAACACGGGATAATCTTATACTATAGTAAGGAAAATGTTTTTAAAGAGAAATAGAATGAATGAATGAATGAATAATCTTTATTGCACACACCATGCTAAAAAGGATACATTAAAAATAAACAATTATGTAAAAGGGTTGTACAATGGGCGGCCTTATTACTTATAGCAATTTCTTCCAGGCAACCTTTGGATGGACAAAAAAAGAATTAACTTTTTTTCTGTTCACCTGATTTTAAGCGATAATCACCGCCCATTGTCATTTTCAAAACCTGTAGGGTTGCAGATGCGTTGTCACCTTATAATAAATTGAGCCCCGGCTACCTCACTCGCCAGACGAAACGCGGACACTTTCATTTCACTTCGGTTTTCTGTGAGATTGTTACTTACTCGGACGGACCTGTCCATTCGTGCAACAGCGATTTTTAATATGATATTTAACCGTATTTAATGTTTGTCATTGCTTCCGCCCAATTTGGTAAAAAATGAAACATTTTAAGCTCCTCACATTTTGAAGTAGCCCGCACTTTAACTATTCAATTACTGGAACGCAGTCGCGTAACAACAAACTGAACATAATGTGCATAGAAATTTTTTGTCTTCGATTCGACAAATATATATACTGAAAAAGAATATGGAGACAATATAAGAAATAGATAATATAAGATGACTTGGTGGCGGTCTTGCTAAGCTATTGGCTTCGTCGTCGGGGGTCGTGGGTTCGATTTCGCCCATTCCTGCAACAGAGACGACCTGCGCGGCCCTTCCTCAGCTAAAGCGACTCTGCTATCCTCATTTATACAAACGTAATACATAATCGTTGAGCCGTGATAGCTCAGTGTCCGGGCGCTCGCCTTCAATTCAGTATACTCGAGCAATCTGAGTTCGATCCCCGGTGGCGGCACCAATGAGATTATTAATTTTAAGTGCCGATTCATCACGTGCTCAGCGGTGAAGGAAAACATCGTGAGGAAACCTGCATATTTTCGAAATAAAAAAAAAATATTTCGAAGATATGTGAAGTCCGCCAATCCGCAGTGGGGCCGCGTGGTGGACTATGCCCTGATACCCTCTGTACAGAGGAGGCCTTCGCCCAGCAGTGGGACATGTATAGGCTGATACTTTACTTTACTTTTACATGATCGTTTGCTCTCGCAGGCTGGTGATAATATTCGTGCCGTCGGTTCGGCCGAGGCTGCTGCACGCCCGCTCGAGGACCATCGCGATGGAGACGGCCGCGCTGCTCTCGAGGCGGACGGACGTAGGCGACTGGTGGCTGCTCTACATGCTGGCCAGGAACATGGACCCGATAATATACAGGTGAGCGGGGGCGGCGCGTGCCAACGCCGACTGGACGTAAACAGCCTGTCGCCTATGTCTTTGTCTGTGTCATAACAGCTGGACGGTAGGCGGTATCGATGTATAGTTTGTAGGTTTATGGAGGGGGGGGGGGGGGGGTGTTCTTTTTTTTAAAAGGATAACTCACTTTAGGATAACATTATCCTGTGTTCTGGATGTGAAGGACGTTTCACAAACAAATCGCACGAGGACAAACACTCAGATGCGAAACAACTGTCTGTGGGTAGTACAAATGAGTCATCATTAATAAGGAAGAAAGGAAGGAAATATTACGCTTTAATTTTCTCCACTATTATAATAATACATTGAAATTTCGTTTTTTTTGTACATTTATTTTTGGATTATAGGATTTATTAAGCGAATACTCTTGATTGCCTACGCGACTGTACATATTCAGAATAATATTACATACCTATTGTTAATTCAGAAGAAAGCTACATTGGCTGTGTTAAGACTAGTGACGTTCCGAATGACCGCATCAGCCGATGATGCGTATCTGCGGATCTAAATTTTTAAACATCCGGCACATCGCTAGTCAAGGCCACAAATTCCTACTCCCTAATCTAGGAATAAACCATTTACTATAAAATAACCAATCAAGATTATCACGACTAAGATTAGCCCGTCTAATTCGTAATCCGAACTTTCCAGAGAACTGATAGCGGAGCTGGTGAAGCAAATGGGCGAGAAGCCGGGGCCGCGCGCGTGACGTTCGCCCCACCGCCAGCCCGCCACCAACCACGGGCCCATAGCGGTGGTGGGCGTCTGACGTGAGCCTCATTCCATTATCGCCCTAATGCCCTTAGCCTTAAGCGTCAGTTCTCCGCTTCGTGTGCGGCCTGTTATTAGCTACCAGACGGAGCGAGTTGGGGACTTGTGTGAAGAAAGTTTGTTCGTATTAAGGATGAATGTTATGTACGCGATTGTACGTACGTGTTCGATTCGTACAGTCGCCAACAGTCGTCTCGTTTCGTCAATGTTTGTATGACGCCGGTGGGTGTGTAGAGATTTTATATTTGTACAGTCGTGTGCACTTGTAAGTTCACCGGAGAGTCGTTATGGTATATTGTACGTGACGGTACCTTTATTTTTAAGATTTTGCTAGCGACTGTAGCTTGTGAAAGGAGAGATTATGTTCTATTGGCATGATGTTTACTATATTATGATTTAAAACGACAAATCTTCCACCCTCCATTTTAGTGCCGAAGAGAATTTGTACATATTTGTATAAACAATAGTAGAGGATATAGGAACATATCGTAAAGCCTATGCTTGTTGACTATCGACTTTATTTCCTACGTTTAGAGTCTATGTCGTGTAATGTACAAATATTGCTCGTAACTACGGCCGGCTTAGCGATGTTTAACTCATAGGCTGTTTTATAAATCTGACCACACTCAATGACAATATGAAAGTTTTCGATGAATTTGTAGTTTAAGTTGTGTTAAGGATGATTGAAGACATTTCTATAATAAGGCAATCAATGAAATGATAGTTCTTTAATGGTTTTAAGTGAAATTCCGTAATAAAATCTCTTCAATGGAATCTCAACTAAACGGTTATTAGTTTTAGTTTTTTTAGTTGATAATCGTCTCATAGTTAACTAAATTTCTACGTTCTTAAAATCGAATATAAAACTAAAACTAATAAAACCTGTAAGTGGATATCCACTGTAATCGGAAAATTTGCCTAAACTCATTTATTATATTGATTTGACAACGGTTTGACAACTCGGGAATCCCCGAGTTTGTATGAGGAAAGGTTTGAACTAAAAGTGTAAATTACTATGATTGTAAGAGAGCCTTGGTATACATACTTTAAGAGGTATTGTTAATCTTGTCCTATATGTAACTATTGTTGAGACAAGATTGTTTACATTGTAAGTGCGAGCCTTTCTATTATCTCTTAAGTTTTAGAAATAAGACAGACTTAACGAAGGTCTATATTATTCCTAAAGTAGTTGCAATAAGGTCGAATATCGTTTGAATCGGACGGAGGTAATGTTTATGCATCGTTAACGGTCGCGTTTACTAAGTGATTCCAATACGAGTAGGGTCAGCAAATACAATTTAGGATTCCTATATGTGTAATGTCTATGGTCTGTAATTTTATTTGCGTAGAGAAAACTGAAACGGCGGGAATGTCGTAAAAATTGTGCCTTGAATAACCTTTGTCTTTGACTACCGTATTATTTTTGATCTTTACTATGGCTTTTGAAGGGTTCCGTACCCAAAGGGTAAAATGCGACCCTATTACTAAAGGCCCATTTACACGATGCCATTTTCTTGTACATACAAGAGCAATAATTGAATGCAATAAGTTGCACGCAATAATTGACCATCAAGAATTGTAAGCAACAGTTTACACGCAGATATAGTAAAAAAATTGAATGCGATTATTGTATGCAAGTCTTGACAGGAAATAATTGCAAAGGTCTTTTGTTTACACCAATGCAATTATGTTTAGGGGATTATTGCTTTCAAGTTTTGACTTGTCTAAACACATGCTTGTATGTGCGTGTACAATTTATTGGCGTGTTGCTTCAAGTATTGCATGTATTTGCGTTGACAAATTTTTCATGCAAGTGTTGAACGTTTTACAAAGGGCTGTTTTTTTAAAAAAATGGCTCAATAATAAGTGTTCAAGTTAGATTATGCCGATTAAATATATTTCATTGAGATTTATTTATTATGATCCATATATTATTATTCATATTTTTATCCAACTTTTTTTACGACCTTTTCTCAATATTTCTATCCTCAAAAGAACAGCAATGATTAAATACCCTCACTCATTGCACAAATTTTTGCCAAGGAAGAGAGAATGCAATTGAATACAAGAATTGCTTAAGAAATTATTGTGTGTGCTTTTTACACCAAGGAAAGTTTTGAAACAAAACTTGAAGCAAGCCTTGTTCAACAGTCAAGAATGTTATGTGCTGTTTAGACAATGCAACTCATTTATTGCTTCAATTTAATTGTATATAACAGGCAAGAAACTTGCACCGTGTAAATGGGCCTTAAGACTCCACTGTCTGTCTGTCCGTCTGTCACCAGGCTGTTTCTCATGAACCGTGATATGTAGACGGTTGAAATTTTCACACATGATGTATTTCTATTGCCGCTATAACAACGAATACTAAAAAACAGAATAAAAATATTTAATTGGGGCTCCCATACACGAGAGAGTATTTTGTTTTTTGCCGTTTTTATAGAAAATGGTACGGAACTCTTCGTGCGCGAGTTTTTGTATTCTATAGACTTTTGGAGTTGACAACGAAAGTTGTTTTTTTAACTTTCTGTAGTGTATGGAAGACGGGTTTTTACGTGAAAAATTACGTTGCAAAACTGTGGAGGGCGCGTTTGCAATCGCCCCTTCTTCGAATGGTTGTACTTTAGATGTATTTATTAGTGTTCGTAAGTTGATTCCATTTAAATCGCGACTCGAAATTTTGCGGGGACCTGATTTTTAGCGTTTTTACAGCGAATGCTCTTCGAAATATTTTCCTGCGTTTTACTCTCAGATTATATTTACGGTTTGTTTTTTAGATTATTGTATTATCGAATCTATCGCGATACGAATACTGGTTAGGAAGGTGATATAAGTGAAAGGTGTTTTTCGCGTTTCGGTGAGACGGAAGATCTGCAGATAGCAGTGAGTAAGTGAGACAGAGGATTCGTTCGTCTAATACATTTCTCTTGATTTTCTCAGTCCTATAGTGCCAATATCATTTAATGTATGGTAGATCTGAACTCTTATACGTACTAGAAAAGAAGTTTTGTTAATATTATTATATTATTGTATGGCTATTTGTATCGGTTGTTCTTTATACACATTTATGAAATTTTCGAAGCGATTTATTTCACTCGTCAGCACAAACGGCGGACGTCTGGTATGATTTCGAAAACTATTGTTTGATGCGTTTTGAAATTGATTCGTAAAAATTTAATGTATTCCACAGTTTATGAAATCGCGAAATTTACAAAATTACGAAATACGTGATTCGTTACGAAATTTTCTAAATTAATTTAAAAATTATTAATCGACAAAACTCGAGGTCGAGCACAATTGTTGTCGGTACTGACTAAACAGACTGAATGTTGTATCTATCAATTGATAATAATGTCTAAATTTACTCGACGTCAATTAAATTGTAATTCAAATATTTGACAAGTTGGCCGCAAGTATTCGGGCCAACATGCTGGGATAATTGACTGATAGAAATAATCTATATTCTATAGACTCCGATGTCGCCTTCTTCGTTTGGGCAATCTTTGCCGGATTTATAGACAAATATAGTTTTAAAATCATTCGTCGAACATTTGATTCGCTACGAAGGGTTTCCTTCTGTGGTTTATTGAATCATTAATCGTGTGTAACATTATAAAGGTCGATGACGCCTTTTGTGTGGGTCTAAAAAGATCAAGAAATTTTATATTTTATAATTTTAAAGAACGTAAAAATCTTGATCTAGAACTAGTTTATTCTTGTTACGTTTAAAGCTGCCGATTTTGTGTGTTCAGCAAAATGTCTATGCCCATATATAAATTGGCGTCTGGCGTAATTTGTTAGCATAATGAAGTACACTAATTAGTTATGTTAGACGCATGAACGCAGTTATCATTAAATAAAAATCTTTAAGAGGGCCAACCGATACAGCAGACATGATTTCCTTTGCAGTTTGTATATTAATGGTACGGAACCCATCGTGTTAGAGTCCGACTCGCACTTGGCAGGGTTTTTTTTCGCCTAGCCCCCATCCGAAAAGACCGTACCCTTCTATAAGGAACTTCGTTACAACAAGAACTAACAGTAAGAGTTGACTCACTCGTGACATCTCATTTTGTTCAATAAAAGTATGTTTCTATTCAAACCTAAACTGTACTGTAGGGAGTGGATAAAATAATGAATTCTTGAAGTTTATAAATCACCTACGCCCGGTTTCTGAAACACCGGTCATCGCAGAAGTTAACTAATCACCTGTCAAATGGCTTTTCAAATGTCATTTGAGTTGCCAAAACGATGGTTAAACGACCAATTCAAAGATAATTCTGATCATTAAGATGACCATTCTGATCAATTCAGAGAGTTTAACAATCCTTTTGGCAATTTAAATCACATTCTAACGGCGGTAGGGCCGGGCCACGCAGCATCCTCGGCTGTTGCACGAATGGGCAGGCCCGTCCGGGTAACTACCACGACCTCACAGAAGACCGGCGTAAAGTGGAAGTATGACAAATACTTTCGCGTTTCGTCTTGTGAGTGAGGTAGCCGGTGCCCAAATTTTCAAAAGGTTGAAAACGCATCTGCAAACCCTTGGGTGTAGCAGATGTCCATGGGCGGTGGTATTCACTTAACATCAGGTGAACCGCCTGCTCGCTTGGCAACTTTTCACATAAAAAAAAATTGAAAATCCATTTGACAGGCGGTTAGTTAACTTCTACGAGGATCCGTGTTTCAGAAACCGGGCGTTAGTCGGATATCATGTATGTATATAACGAAAATACGTCCATATCTATTTCATATTTCAATGTTACTTTAGCATATGCATATTTATAGATAATTTCCGATAGGTCTATAGAGAAAAAAAGGTTATATATGTACAATAGTAGTACGGATGCGTCTATGTTTTCACGTGACAAGTTAATTTAATGAAATGTGACGAACACATACAGGCCGTCGCCCTGGTTTTTTTTTTTTAAAACA